AAGTCTTGAGGCACAGAATCACATTCCTTTTATGTGTGTAAGGATTTGCAGTATTCTTCCATTTTTTTGCTACACGATGGGCTTGAAAGATGAGATAGGACAGTGTTTGTTGAAATCTTCCCGTGTTTTCCTCTCCAGTATGTTTTGCAACCATGTGTTGAATATTAGATTTCTGAGCACAGGAGTTACCGGTAACGGTCTGTATTTATGACTGATGAACTTTGGGGAAGTTTGTGGTACACAGTAAGTTACTTTAGCCCTCAACCTAGTTCTGAAATCATTTGCCTAACTGCAGAGTTCATTTCCTACTTAGGTGGCAGAAGCACACAGAATCCAACAAGAACTGACTCTGCTTCTCTGTTGTACTTTGCACGTTTTATGAGTAGCCAGGAGTCCATTCCAATTTCTATGGGACTGTATGTCAAACAGGAATAGCTGGAGACTTTACATTCTCACTATAACTTTTGAGGCCTCTTCTGCCGCTTTGGAGAAGGTAAATATGGTGATTGCTTTATACTTGTCAGGTAAAAAGAAATTTTGCCTAGCTTTCAGGAATTGAGTTTGTAGTGGGTCCAGTTTCCTACTATCCCTGCTGCAGATTTCCTCTGAATTTGGTTAATCCTTTCACTTTTCTATGCCTCTTAGCCCCTCCATGAAATGGGATAAAAGCATGTGTGGTGCTGGGTAGGCAGAGTACAGAGGAGGCTGTCGAATGCTTGGATTTGGTATCAACAAAGGTGGATCAAAGGGAGTGTCCTGCAGAGATTTTTGGGGTGTCTTTTTCTCGCTTTTTGATCCTACAGAAATGTCATACACCACTAACATGAAATAGCTTTTTTTTTTTTTCCCTTAAGACAATGATAATCTTAGGAAGAAAAGAGGATTATATTTCTCTCAGTTCTTAGCTACTTAAGGATATATATTCCCTTCTAGAACCAGTGAATTGCCTTGGAGCAATAGTGATCTTTTCTACTATTGTTTAAAAATCCAACAATTCACTATGTTGTTTCATTATTATGCCACCCAGGCAATGCAAAGGAAGTCAAGAAAGAGACTAGTTGGAAACCATTTGGAAAGAATTAGTTTCATGGGGATATTTTTAGCCTTTGTATATGTGTTAAGAGCAAACTTAGTACTCTGTTACTGTTCTGGGTCTTGCATGAATTGTGATTCTAAGCATTGCTAAATATATTACCCTGCTATTGTTTTCAAATCGGTCATGGGCTTGTTACAGCAAACATTGCCCAACTTCATTACTTCAGAATAAAACCTTAAATGAACCATCGGTGAAAATATTTGAATCACACTTTCCTAGAAGTGCACTGCATATTTGAATAAGATGTTTCCTGCTCTGGTTTTTTTTTCCTTTGTACAGGTGTTGGTAGCATTGAATTAGGATTAATGTAAGGGCATTCTTCTATAGTAATTGCAGAATGAATGAAAATTTGCTGTTTTTTAAATAGTGACATGGAAAAATACAGGAGAAACTTAATAGTAGGGTATCTTTTTCTGTTCGTCATAGCTGATTTATGTGATTTAGACCAGTTAAATTGTTTGGCATTTTGCTTATTTCTTATAATAAATTGTTTTATTTATTTAATACTGTACAGTGTAGAACTAAGTATATTCTAGACTATTCTAAACTAGACTGTTTTGTTGAAGTTCTGTAGGAAGAATAGCTGTGCCTTTTAAAGGAAGTCCTGGATAACTGGTATCATGCCTTATTTATGTTTAAACTCAAAACCCCCCAAATTCCTGAGAAACTATAAGGTATCATTTAGGTCATATAATAAAAGTTATTACAATTTTCAAATTATTTTTCAAACTTATTAATTGTATTGCAACTTTTTTCAGCTTTTAGGTGTTAGGCAAGAATTATAAAAATGGTTCAGTTTACTTCTTGGTTTTGCATATCGTTAGTCCTACATAATTCTTGCTTTTTTCAAACCATGCTCATTTAACCACTGAAAAACTGTAGCACATCAGCAAGCTCTAATAAAAATGCTTATATGTGTTTAATGACCATGTTTGCGAAGTTATTGCTTTTATGAGGTCTATAGCGCATTATAGCTTCCCATTAGAGGAATAATAGTTAATGAAAATAGGGACAGTCTTGTATATGCAAATGGCACATTATAGAGACATTTTACTTGGCATTAAGTCTAATCACTTCAAGAGTATTGTCATTTTATCTGATAGTCTAAAAATATTTACGCTGTTCTAAAGTCACTTTAAGCTGCTGTGGGCAAGGATAGAGAAATATTTATTGTGGTTGTCCACATGAATTTTTTTATCATACTTTGAAGTGAAAAGTGACAGCTCAGTTGCTGAGGTTGTGGCATTGTAGCTGGTGCTCAGTTGTCATAGAATGTGACATGTCATTGCACTTGGTCTCTGAACAAGACATCTGGAGGAGAGGATGATCTAAATTCTGACGAACATGAATTATGAAGGAGAGTAGCAAGAATCACAGAATGGTTTGGCTTGGAAGGGACCTTAAAGACCATCTAGTTCCAACCCCCCTGCCATGGGCAGGGACCCCTTCCGCTAGACCAGGTTGCTCAAAGCCTCCTCCAGCCTGGCCTTGAAGACACCCAGGGATGGGGCATCCACAGCTTCTCTGGGCAACCTGTTCCAGTGCCTTCAGCACCCTCTCAGCGAAGAATTTCTTCCTGATATCTAATCTAAACCCCCCCACTTCCAATTTAAACCCATTTCCCCTTGTCCTGTCACTACAGGCCCTTGTAAAAAGCCGTCACCCAGCTTCCTTGTAGCCCCTTCAGGTACTGGAAGGCTGCAATAAGGTCTCCCCGGAGCCTTCTTTTCTCCAGGCTGAACAAGCCCGACTCTCTCAGCCTTTCATCATAGCAGAGGTGCTCCAGCCCTCTGAGCATCTTCGTGGCCTCCTCTGGACTTGCTCCTACCCGTCAATATCCTTCTGATGTTGAGGGCTCCACAGCTGGACGCAGCACTCCAGGGGGGGTCTTACAAGAGTAGAGTACAGGGGCAGAATCACCTCTACCAAGAATAATCTCTCATTGTTCATGTGAACAGTAAAGTAACAGATGAAATAGAAGCAAGGGAGGTTCTGTGGAAGGAAAAAAAGGATTAAGTGCATTGGAAGAAATAGTGGCGGTCTGGAGGGTGAGAAAGAACTAAGTGATGTAGTTCATTCTAGTCTTATTTTCTATCATTCACTAAGTTAGAGATGCTTCTGTTGTAATTGTCCCTCTCAGTGTAACTTCTGTGAGATCTGCTCCCAGGACGTTTTCCAGGCATCTCACATTTGCATGGCAGAGAGCGAGGTAGAGCATATTTTCTGGGCTGATTGCTCCTACTTCTTATGGGCAGCTTTTGAGAGAAGGTGCCCTTAGGACTGCTTTGCTCTGCAGAAGCTGGTCCTGTCCCATGAGGAGATCCCTAGCTCTAGGGATCTAAGTAACGTAAAGTAGCCAGAAGAGAAATGGGATTTTGGTGGAGAGCTTGTCGCTTCAGGTAGATTGAACAGCTTTACCTTCCGTTTGCCTACTGGCTTGTGCCCAGATGTACTGCAGAGAAGGTGGGGTTACGTGGGTGTTACGAACTGGAGAGCCGGCCGTTTTGATGTCTTCTGGTACTGAGAAGCTCCTGTCATGCCATCGTGCTTGTGATCTTGCTAGGCATGCTAAAGTCCTGTTATTTTGTTTAGTTTTACTAGTTAATATATTCATCTATTCCTGTGACATGTGGATAAATCTGTTAAAAACAATTAATAGCAATTACAAATTTTGAAATTACAAGGCTTTTATAATAACTTTTGTAAAAAATGTATTTCCAAATAAACAAAACCTCTTTGTTTCTCTCCAGTTTTGTTTCTTCTTCTTGATAAAAAAGATATTCATATAATAAACATTTCACTGATTTTTTTTTTTTTTTTGGCTGAGAATAGTAAATGAAGTTTTGTGTCACAGTTTCATTTTGAAAAAGTAATAAACCTTTAGTAATTTTTATTAGATAATTTGTACCTGTTCAAATCATTCACATACCTCTGCAGTATTTGAGTTACTTTATAATGTTATAATAGCTTTTTATTAATTTCTTCAGGAGTTGAAAAACTTGGGGTTTAGAGAACATTGTAAGAAATAACCTTCCAGAAATCTGTTGACAGTCTAAAAGCATCTTTTATATAAGCTAGTAAAATGGTAATTCAACCTAATAACTAAGAGAACAATGGCATTTTGCTAACTTTTTTAAAAAAACATAAATGAGTGAATGTAATAAGATTAAAAAATACAGGGTTATGACATTAATGTGTGCTTTGTTCATTTATTTGACAAGTGGTTTTGTTCTAATTATGTAAGTTCCAAATATACCAGTGAAAGCATTAGTGAAATTAGATTTCATTAGTTCCCAGCTGTTATGTAGTTAAAATGAAGAAAACCTGCTTTCTTTAGGTCCAAATATGGCACTGTATAGTGTGAATGGATGAGGGTTTCTGTGACAATTCCATAACAGTCCTTGAAGCAATATTATAATTTCAGTTTAATTAAATCAGTATTTTTTTTGCATCTTTTTCTGGATTGTTTAGCAGATAATCATTACTATGAAGACACTAGACAGCCACTTAAGTATTTGTCCCTCTTTCTTATTTAATTATAACTATTGAAGCTTTCAGGTAATTTCTTGGCGGATGCTTATTGTTGTCTCGGATGTGTTTTGTTCCATCTGCCTTTGAGCACTGATGAGGATATTGGTTCTTTCAGTTGTCATTTGCTGACAAAAATAATTCTGAATAATATTTTGATGCAAAGGTGAGAGCTGTTTCCCTCAGAGAACAGGGTAGCATGCTTGTGTGTTCATGACCTTTTTTACATGTACTGGAAAAAATAATGTAACTCCACTCTTCTGATGAGTTAAGAAGGCATGGGAACTGGTTTCACAGCAAAGGAGGTTGGATACTGACATCTGAACCATTAGAGTGTCTTTCTCCCTGTAATCCAACTCTTGCTGTATTTGTTCAGCTAGGATTGTGTGTTAGCAGAGCTTCAGCATCTGTCCTCAATCTCAACTGCTGCCTGGTCCTCCTACCGATGTGCCGTGTTGTCTTGGCCTTCCTGCGAGGATCTCAGGTGAGCACTGTCCTCAGGATGCAGCAGTTGAGAAGAGGGTCCTGGTCACTGTTTAGACTAAAAATAATAGGGAAAAATCTGTCGTGTCCCTGTCTATTACACAGTGTGTGCTTGCATGGTACAAGTGTCAGACATTCAGCCTAGGTTTGTGACTCCTTTGAAGTCGGTGCCTTGGCTGGCATTGTCTGCTTTGACTCAACTTGCTGTGAGGGACGTGTCTTCAAAGCATTTTTGAGGGGTGGGGAGTTGCTGTGCAACTGTCACCAGACTAAGTGTCCTCTTTCTTTCTCAACTCAATATTAAAGACATCTTTGTCCTCCACTGGACATAACAGAAGTTTAAATGAAAATACCCAACCTGATACATTCGTTACATGGGAGAAAAAGGGTTCTGGCAAAGCTAGGAGGGTTTGTTTTCTGTACCTGTATTCAGTTAACAGTAGCTTGGCTTGTTTGTGATTCACCACTGGCTTTTACAGAAATAGAAGTAATGTTTTTGAGGAACTTTTTGTGTTTTCTATGTGGTTGCAAATTGAACCTGTGTGTTCTGTTCATCATGTGACAGCTCCTATAAGATTTGATGCCTATAGATGCATATATGTACACAAATATACCTTTCCCTCTGATCCTGCTCGCTAAAGGGTCAGTGACACCTACAGCAATTTGTGCTGGAATTCCTAAATTTTAAGGCCAGAAGGGACATTTCTTCTTGTGCTCTTGACATCTATGTAATTCAGATCCAACCAACTGTAATTTCTTCATTAAGACGTCAAAATTGGCTTATTTACACAATGCTGTTGTTTTTAAATTTAGGTGCTGTGCTTGCAAGGGTATTAAACCTAGTAAAACCTGAAATTGCTATTATATCACCTCAGTTGCTGTTAGTATTTTTTTTCTTTGCTTTGTTTTAGAAGAGAGATTGCTTGAATTCTTCTCTTTAACCAGAAGGCTGCTAGATAAAAGCAAAACTTTCCATGTGACATGTGGAGTTACAATATGCATCTTCTCAGGTGAGATCTTACTGTGCTGAGCAGCAGCTTGTTTGGGAAAAGCACTGAAGTAGTGCTTTGTGGTTTTTCTTGTACAGTACATTTGGGGGTAGTCTTGCTCTGTGCTTTCCTGCCTTAAACTGTGAATGCTTTCTCAGATGTGTGTGGGTTTTGGTTTATTTTTCTTTTAAACGCATGGGCTTACATCCTAATGCCGAGCCTTTCCTTAAAATTCCAGTTTCTAAAAGGACAGGTAGGTGAGATCAGGTCAAAATCTGCCATTACAAGTGGCCTTCATTGTGCTTAAGGAATTTGAGTGAAGAAGCAAGGAGCCACAGGTTTATCTGCAGAAGAGGGAGCAGTGGAGACAGATACCCAATTTGGTGAAGAAGAAATATTCTTGGGTGGACACCTGTGAATGTTGTTTCCCAGCTGAAGCATTGCAATAAGGAAATACTTGCTGTAGTGTTAGAAATCTTTAAATGCATGCAGCTTTCTGCCATGAATATCTATAACCTGATTTACTTTACAAAAAGAATTCCTTAGTTCCTGATGCATCCTATGCAGGTGATGTGGTTATAGCTTGGCATCTGGGTAGCTACTTTTCTCTGTTTCAGGGGAACACCTACTGCTTGTTTATGGATCTCAGCCTTACTCTGTTGTTTTTTAGTCTTACATGTTGCTGCTCATCTGGTGAACGCTCTTAACTTCTCAGAGAACTACAACGAAGACTTTCTGGCACTAAATGCAGCAAATTATCGTGGTGAGGTGAGCCAGCTGTCCTCTTGTATTTTGGTTTTAAGTATGTAATTTAAATATATGATTATCTGTATATTCAATTCCCTTGTGTGATCCATCCTGTGATCTCTACAGTGCTGCTGTTTTGTGCACTGAAAACTTAGGATCACATGGATTGCTGGGGATTTTACTTCTTTCTCTGGACAAGGCATGTATTAAACACTTTTTGTTTAATCTGTCAGGATTCAGTCAGGTTGGATTATGAGGTGGAGAATGCTGTCATTAGGTCCTTTCACCTTGCACCCTGTTCTTCTCTTTTGCTTCCCTCTGTTCCTTGGGTGGGCATGGATGAGAAACTTGCTGCTCTTTAGGAAAATACATTCTGCATTTGTCCTATTTAGAATATAGTGCTATGTGACATATACTGGGGATTTGAGGATAGGGAGATTTGAGTCTGATTTTGAATTTTTAAACTGCAGTGGGAACTGGAGTATGTGTGCTAAGAGTGGAATTAGTTATCTGCATGAGCTGGGCTGAAAGCTGATTTCTGCTTACAAAGTACTTGGTTTGCATGAGTTCTCTGACTGTGGTGCAGATCTCTTGCAGGCATTCCAGGGTCATAGTCCCTCCTCCAGGTGCTCGCTTGTGCATTTGGCACTGGAGAGAGATTTGCAGTTTTCAGAAGTAAGACCAGAATCCAGGATTCTTTTTCCTTTGGGCTACAATCAAGTTCTCTCTTGTTTATATTTATTCTCGTTTCAAGTCTGAATTTCTTTTCTACCAGCTTCATTAGGAAAGATTTAGAATGATCCTATCCCAGCTGCATCCTTTCCTGGAAAAGGAGAGCTTGACTCAGCCCAGGCTCAAAAGGACCAACAATCAAGGTCTTCCACTCCCTGGGTGAATGATCTAATCACAGACGTATTCTATGGCAGAAGGACATGCCAACACCAACTGTTGTGCTGAGGTTCTGGATTAAAGTGTCTGCAAGAGTTAGGAGAGGTTTAATAGACCCAGCCTCATCAGGAACATTAGCAGGAGCTTGCCTGGGGCAAGAACATGCCATGGTGTCCATGGCAGCCTGTACTAAGCAGCCTTAGGTATTTTTCAATAGAAAGTGGAGATAATAACACATTTTTAGTAACTCTGGGACGACAGCCTCCGAGGTTTTAGGTGCTCTAGTAGCTCTTGAACCTTTGTGCTAGGATTCCTCTTAAACCTGTTTTTTAACTGTGGTGGGCAGCCTGGATGCTACTGTCATCGTCTGTACGTGGGTGCGCACATCTGGTGGCAGGCAAGGTCAGGGAGGGGGACTCTTTGTTTTCCCTGACCTGTATGAAGACTGCTCACCTCCCCTCACTGCATTTTACTGCAAGTTTAAGAGAAGTTTTTAAAAAGTTTTTCTCTGCAGTGAAGACACAACCTCACAAGGTGTAGGACTCAGGGGAGCGAGGCATTTTCCTGTGAGGTTGACATATCCCCTCTTCCTTTCACATGTGGTGAAGGACACAGGAACATCTGGTCTTGTCTTGTCAGCTCCTTTGTGTTCAGTCCTGCTTCACTGGAGTCCACTGCAAATCTCTTGGTGATTTAACTGGCAGTAAGATCCTTGCCGATGGTCTTTCATTTAAATTCAAAATCGCTCTCTTCTGCTCCCCTCTATCCTCCCAAAGGCATAACTGAGTAAAGTTAGGCTTTCAAAAACCATTTATTTGTAAAATTATCTGGATCTTATTTTTTCATAACAGATCAGAACTGTCTTCAGTGGGGGAATGCAAAGGCTAAGGCTTTCATTTCTGTAAAACTGCAGTCAGTGTAAATTGCTACTGAATACCAAATCCATTCCTGCATCCAGATTTAGGGATTGCATATACCATTGAGCACATGAGCTTTATGAGCTGCTTGTTATTCTTATTACTGCATTATTCATACAGATATAAAAACATATATGGTCACTTTTTTTTATTTGGACTGTCTGTTTTTCAGGACCCAAGGAAACTGCTTTTTGCTACCGGTAAGTCTGTATCAAAACTGAATGAGGAAATCTGCTGCTTCTCATCATCCCTCTGCAGACAAAACATTTTGATGCTGTGTTCGCATGTTCCATTTGTTGTATCTGTTAGGTTGAGATGTATTATTTGTGTTAATATAACCTGGGTTTGCTTATCCAGTAGTCAGGAGGGAGGAATTACATAAGCTGTGTGTGTAGTAGGATGAGCAGCATCTTCAAAGCTGTTGTTGTACAGATGAGTCAGTGGAAAACCATCAGTTTCAAACAGAGATTCTGCATAATATTAAAACCAAATTCTTAAATGATCCAATTTCTAGAAAAAAAAACACAACAAAAAGTGGTCTTCTTGCTTCAGCTGGTTTATTTAAGGGTTGGTTTGACTTCAGAGCCATCTAAACTGTTACACGGGAATCAGGCTTCAGTGCTCATAAAGAATAAATAAGCAAAAAGACATTTTTTAGGAATTTAGAAGGGACCAATGTTAGGGTATGGAGGGGTAAGCACAAGGCTGAGTTGTAGTGCTTCACCAGCAGGTAGAGGTCCTTTCTCAGGTCATCGCTCTTTCACTCTTATTTAGATCAAATGCAAAAGTCTCAGCTTGGCAGCATGTAGGGCAAGGTCCAAAGGAATCAGTCTGGACAGCAACAAATGGGGTTCTAAACTTCTCCATACCTATAAATTTACTAGAATTGCCGGCCTGTGGGAAAGGGCTTTCCAAAAACCCTAAGCGAGGTTTAGGTTGGTTGAGAGTGGGGGAAGTGAGAAAGTGAGCTGATAGAAATTGAGGTACAAGTTAACTGCTAACTGGAAATAGGTTGGGTGGCTGGTGGTGTTAGTGGGTCAGTGGTGAGGCTTGAAACAGGGTAGCTCAGAGGGGAGGGAGTTAAAGATTGGGAGGGAGAATCAGAACAAGCAGCTAGTGTTATATTTAATATCTTAGATAAAGGAAAAGGTCTTGGGGTGAAGAATTAGTGTAGAGGCTCCATCAAATATTGTCACAGTTTTTGCGGACAACTTGAGACCTCTCTAGTTGAGCAGAGGATCTGCAAGGTCCTTTTACCCTCTCACAGCCAGGAAAATGTTTCATTTTCAAAAATTTGAGCACGTTGTTGCAAAAAGCAGGGATTCCAAGACATCTTAAATCACTCACATCACTCCCTAACAACTGGTAATTAACATTTATTATTTGTGATGTGGGAATGCCCAGCCAGGGACCAAGATTTTGCTGCACTGGGGACTGTGCAAAAAAAAAATGGTGTCTTCCCAAACAGTTCAGAACTAGGTTTTTTTTAACACAGTGAGGAGAAGGAATAAGGAGTTGGAAGGATTTACAGTGTGGTGGCTTTTCAGATCAGTCCAGGAAAGAACCTCCTTGCTTAAGGGTGTGAGGCTAGCTCTGGAAGGCACAAGTCTGCAAGATTATGGTTAGTGGAGGAAAAACCAGACAGTGACAGTGAGTAGAGGAAACACTAAAAATGCACTGAACTGGGGCAAGTGATTTAAAGTTTGCAATTTGCTGGAGAAGAGAACTGAAGAACTGGATGTAAAAGGGGCTGTGTCTTGTCAGGTGCTGTACTGCAATTGGGTTGGAAGTGTTTGTGTCAGAGGGAAGACTGATTGCACACTACCTGTCAGATTAAGGAAGAAGAAATGAAGGAGGCAATGGAAAGAATTCACATCTTGTATTGCAACTCCTTTTAATTGTAAACTTTCCGTGCAGGCGTAACGTAAAATTACGTTTCTTATGCAGTCCATGGCAAAACTTTGACTGATTGTAGGATCAGGTTTTTTCCTACAGTTTGTAAAACTGAGGCATAATTTGGGACATATCAGTTTTGGGTATCAAACTTTTCAACAAGTGGATATTGAGAAGTTTATAAAAAGATTGGGAATTGTCTATTGATAAGAGTCTAAAATCACAATCATCTTAAAAATTAGCTTGTTCTTATCATTAGGATATGAACCTGTAAAAATGCTGGGCCATTAAAATCTGGTTTTGCCATTTACGTTCATGACAGCTGGTTGAGATGCTTTTATTCTGACTGACACTAAACCAGCACTTATTTAGCTTTGTGCTTGGTGATTTGCCTGAATGACTTTATTTAAATCCAAACATATGGCTTTTAGGGTGACCAGAGACTATGCTTTAAAAATATCATTCTTCAAGTATTCAAGTGGTTTGATGTAATGCTTCATGGATTTTTAGGTTCTTATTTCTTAATTCGTATTCTTAATTCCTGGGATGGCAATTGTTAAGATAAGGTTCTGAAAACCAGTGGTAACTTTGGTTGGGATTTTTCTCATCTGTCTTTAGGCCAATGGTTTACTGTACTTTATGGACAGGATTCTACTTTAGGATGAGATGAATCATGCTGTAGGAAAACTTGTTTCTTTCCTTTGACTCTTAACAAAGAGCTACGGATAGACTAGGTCTGATACAAATGGCATTTGAGCAGATGAGACCAAGTCGTTAACGTTTCTAACATTTCCTTCCCAATTGCTGGCTGTAGATCACTCTCGCAGACCTTGCTCTACAGGCAACAATTTCAAGCATGATACAATGCCATGGAGAGTAATTTCAGGCTCTTTCTCATTCCAGGGTAAAACGGGTTGGCAGACAATTCTAGTGACAGCTTGCATAGAAATTGATTTGCCTGAAATTCTGTCTCTGACCAGGTTTTTAATTGTCATGTTCAGCAGAGTTTGGGGTTTGGAATAAAAAGTTGTTATCGAAACTTGTACAGTCAGTCTTACAAATAAACAAATAGACAGGATTTGTTCTTGATTACCTGCTTAGAGACAAATGTCATGAGCAGAAGATTACAGGCACATAGACCAACAGAAAATTAGTGAAATGGTGAAATGCAAGGAAAAGGGCAGTCTTCTCTTATGTGGGAAATAACATCTCTTTACTATCTTCTTTGGTACGCAAATTGTCTTCAAGAGATAAATACATGCAAGAGTGATTGAATCATGATTTGTTTGTCTAATAACTTCCACCTTCTAAAAAGGATCACAGAAGACAAGTATACCTCTTGACAGATCAAATGCAAGTCATCTTATGTCTGTTTTAGTTCCAGGTCTGACTGGAGTCATTATGGTGTTAGTATTATTCCTAATGTGTACAGCTTCAACGTATGCCATCAGGTAAGACATAATCTGATCATTATGCTGAAAATGCCATTTCAGTAATCATATTCTCATACTGATTAGAGGGAATGAAGAGTAAATGCAATACGAGGCAAGAAATATTTAAATGAGTGTTAAAAACACCAGTTTTCTTGCCCTGGTTTTTTTTTTTTTTTTCCTTTTTGTTAAACTAGCTTACAGGTAAATTAGCACAGTGAATTTTGTATTCAAAAAATTAAAAACCCTGATTAAATTGCCTTCAGGAAAAAGTACTGTTTGAGGAAAATGCTCGGTTATATATCTAGACCTTTAAAAGTGCAAATAGTTCATTTTTCCTGTTTGTACAGGGAAGCAGTAAACTAAGCATATAGAAAGTTCTGACCAATGCATAAATTAAGGCCGGTGGAAGTAAAATAAGATGATATCTTTATCTTAATTATTTTCACCAATTAATTGTAACAACAAACTAAAAAAAGCAGCAACAAAAAAACGCAGCAACGAAGCAACTGAAACAGAATTGTGCTACTTAAGTAGAATGTTGCTTTTTTTAAAGAGCTGCTTCTGGTTGTCAGATTTATTCTTTTTCATGTTGATGATAATTTTGAAATAGCAATACAGTACTGGCTCAGAGTTGTTGCTGGGATTTCAAAAGGTTTTGTCCTGCAGCGTGTTGCATTCTGCACCAACATTATTGACCACATGTTATAGTGCATTTGAATGACTGGTACCCTGGAGAATCTAGCCCAATGCTGTACCCTTTTCAAGGCTTGGATTCGGCAATTGAAGCATATAAAAAGATAAAAAACCCTGAATTTTTATAGCAGTCTCTGGTGATTTCAAAGACTTATTATGTAAATACATCATCTCAATTCGGCAAACACTGAAGGATATTTTAATTCCATATCTTCAAACATTAACGGTGCTTCACCGATGTGAGCTAGATATGTGGTTTTGAACTTTGTTGGACTAATCTCTTTCCTGAGTAGCAATGTGATCAGGCAGTAATTCAATAAAGTTGAGCAAATGCTTGTGCAGTTTCTGTAGACAAAGATACTTCCAGGGTTGAGCCCTTTCTGAGAAATTGTAGGCTGCAGAAGTGCAGGATAAGGATAAGTCAGACATGGCTGCATATTACATAGTCCACACAGATGGCTCTACTTGTAAAAGAAAGCCAGTTTTGGGAAGATGGAAAAATAAAACAATTACTTCACTCTGCAGCAGTGAGCCAGAAAAAAGCCCTGTTTTATCCAAGGCTGTGATAAATTTGAAAAAAACCCAGCAATTTATTAATGATTGGGAAACAGAAAAATATATGTAGTTGCAAACATATTCTTGGAAACAGTAATTTTGGGGTTCATGCAACAAAGGTTTCCACTTGTGAAGTTACATGCTGGTTATTTCCTTCTTCAGTTACTGTATGTGCAAGCACTTTCCCATCCTTTTGCCATCTAGCCAGCAGAATCAAAGCCCTTAAGAGATCATCTGCATCTCTGGTTTCTTTAGCAATAATTCTTATTTAGAAATTTTCTCCTGGCTTTTCCCTCAGGCATGTGGCTCAAGCTCGTTTTTATGGTGTGTTTTCCTAAGGAAACAAGCTTTTGTGTGCATCTTTCAGTCCCTCTTCAGTCTCTTGTCCTGTGGATTCTCATGTGCCTTATAACGGCTAAGATCAGGCTACAGTCTTAGGAAAAGTAATTGTGATGTTCACTGCCTATCAGAAACTGGGATTTTCAAAAAGTGTTTCAGAGACTATTACACTCTCTGGGATTTCAGCCCTAATCCGCTCTTGCACACTGATCCGCTTAATCATTTCTTACTTCATATATTCTTCCTGAAATTTTTCTATGCATGATTATCCTGCTATTTTTGTGCCTTTACTTGTTCAGTAAACTGTGTGAATAAGTATTAGGAGGATTGAATTAGCTGCTAATGTTTTAAAGGGGGAAAATGAGTATTGTTTCAAAAATGTGCTAAATTTTTGCAATGTCATTTCTGAGAATTAGACCAACCTTTTTTCGTTGTTTGTTGGAAGGGTTATTAGAAAATACAATAAATCCTGTAAATAAATGTTGACATTTCTGCTAACTTTCAAATGAATGTTTTTCAAGAGATTTTCATTTTACACAATTACTAGTGACTTTGGAAATCATGTATTTAAAAAAAACATTAAAATATAAGCTGCTCCAGTGCCATCTCCTTTTGTAACCAAATATTCCAATCTTCAATCTCATCTTCTAAACTACTACATATCTTCCTTTTCAAAACTAGCTGTAACAGGGTTAAAAATATTATTCCAAAACTGCTGCTTACTGTGTCCTGGTTTAATATATATTCCTCTCAGCACAAATCCAAATCATAGTCTCATACTAGCTACTGTGAGGAAAATTAACTCTGTCCCAGCCAAAACCAGCACACTGTGGCCCTCTAAAGCATGGCAATCTTCCCTTTCATTTTCAGTAAGTTGACTCTTGCGGGTCTTCACCTGCAAAATTCTAAAGTAGGTTAACCAAAATTAAAATTAAATATTCAATTTGATCTCAAATTTTCAGGACTTTGAGTTCCTAAGAAATTAATTCATTCTCTGAATAATGTCTGTTTTAACACCTAAGAAGGTAAAATAATAAATGTTCTGAAGAACTGTAAAAATGCATATGTAGCAGTAAGAAAAGTGTATTTGAACAGTACATGTGACTGTAGGACACAGTTTAAGAAGGATATAAGTAAGAATTATATAATTATTAAAATGTTGGAAATGTGCTTCATGGTTCAAGGATCTTCATCCCTTTAGTTCAAGGAGGTGAAGTTGAGAGAACTTGATTATATTTAGGGGAACTTGATACTTGTGAG